AAAAACTTACACCTTCATAATCTTATATTTAAAATATTATGTTTTGTAATATATCACAACATAAAAGCCATCCAAATAATTTAGGCTAGTATATTACGTCTTTTAATCTAACATACTATCTCTCTCGATCTGGTTACTCTTTTGTAGATATATCTTTCAATCCACATTTCATAGTAAGAGCATCTCCAATGTTCTAATGTTGTTGTAGAATAAATTTTTTTTCCAAATTTTAATGATATATAAATCTCAACTCACTATATACAGATAATCACCACCAGTGTCCGTGTAAGTAAGCAATGTGACAAAAATTGTAGATACATCGATGCAACGATCATTAAGCTTTGCGTAGATTGTTGTCATATATTAATGTTGTTAACCATATTTGGCTCTAACATGCAGATAACAAATTAGGCAAATCCCAAATGTGATACGTTTAGATATAAGATATCACTAGGTATTAAATAAACAAATACAACAGGGCCAAAATCCAAATGTATATCATCTATCCGATCCACCACACATTTAATATAGAACAAGAGATGAGGCTTCTTATGACTGTACAGGTTTCATGGCTGAGATCATCACAAACAGTCTATAGTCTATTTCTGAAGCAAGTGAAGTTCACAAATCCGCTAGACGTACACAGACCCTCGAGTTCTGCCTCGCTTAAAAATAAACGACTGCCTGACACTTGTGCAACACTCTGCACCCAAAATAACTAATTAATCAAACTATTACTGATAATAGGAGCAAACCATCAATTAAGACAACATTTTTGTCGACCTAAATTAAGAATGTTTTGGGATTTTGCTAAATACCTGATGCATAGGGGCACATAGCGGAATATATGAAACGGGACCGTCTACTATGTACGTTGTGGCAACAAATATCCCTCCAGGTTTCAAAACACGGCTTATTTCTGCAACCTATTAAATCGTAAATAAAAGATTTGACGAGTGGTTATAATAAATTAGCACAAATGTACAAATCTGAAATTTAACAGGCAGATGCCCCTGCTTCCTTCTTTCATTTTTTCTTTTCCAATTTTATAGCTAGTCGATAATTTTTTTTCACTTACTTATATACTAGTTCGAGTGATAGGACGAATAGTGGGAATGGTAGTGGGTACCCAATAGAAAGTACCTCAGCTCAAGTGGATGGTACATCTTTGTAACCTGCAAAAAGGGAAATAAATGAAACAACTGCAGATGAACTAATTGACAATTGATTTCATGACATCGAATTTTGAGGCAATGGCTATTTTACCTCGCGAATAGTGAAAAAGTTTCCCAGGGACTTGGAAATTTTTTCGTCCTTCCGTGACAAAACCGTTATGCATCCAGGGAATTCTCTTAAAATATCTCAGGGTTTTTGTGCATCCACTGCCACATTAGCCAAAAATATCTCACCTTATCATCGACATCAGTAAAGTACGTAAACAACGTCGTATCCCAAATGCTTCAAATATCTGCAGCATTATATTTCAAAAAATATATTTCAGGCAAAATTTAAAGCAATAAAATAAGTTGTTTTTTGTAAATACACTAAAGCAATGAAAGACATTTCGAATTATACTTTAGCAAATATGGTCCGTCACTAACTTTATCATGTTCTGCAGTATCAACAAGAATCTTGTTATAAACATAATATGAGAACATTTTAAAAGAAAAGCTGTAATTCCGACAACAAGCCTTGAAGCTACCGGCTGTTATCCAAATATAAACGCCTCTAGCTACTCTTAATAAAAAAAGGGGCCAAAACAAAGGCTGCAGATTACTTTACGTTAAGTTCACTCAAGTTCACCGCTAATTATTGTCAAAAAATGATTCACTATGAACAATCTGTTCAGAAAAATCTCATCTTCCAATTTGATACATACATTTAGGATTACCTAATGAAAACTTCCACATCTTACTCTAAACTCGGCAGGCTTACCACTTAACTGGCAAATTCATAGTCTTACAGATACCCAAACAAATGACTTTAGGGCACAATTAAAAATTCCAAATAAATTGTATCAGCCCATTAAACTTCATAGCTTCAAGATGCTCCACTACACCAGATGCTGCCAGTTACGAGGCTACAAACAAATAGAAATTCAGGAATACAAAAGATACAGACAGATTTACAACTTATTAAAAACAGCATTGACTAAAATTCAATCTTTCAAAGCACCATAAACCATTTTCAGCAGGTAAAAAAAACACCAAAATGAAATAAAAAAAGGAAAGGACTTAATCAAGATAGCAAATCACAAGTCCAAAAACAAACACCACTCAAACAGCAAGAGCACATGTGATTATATCTGATGATTGTGAATTATGCATTTGACCATATTTTCACATTTTGCATGTGATTAGTTCTATTAATTAGAGTGTCAACGAAAGAGCACATGTAAACAACAAAAGGAAGCATCTTTGATGGAAATAACTAAAATGAGAATAAGGTTCTCCATATGCCCACACATGAAACACATCGTGAATAGTAATTCAGTACATGTAACTCTTTTGAATTTAGCAATTAAACTTCTTCATTGGTTTCTTTCCTTCGCATTATTTTCTAAAATATGCTAAAATGTGGCTTTATGCAACTATACTACATTTGAGTAAACAATGATAGCAACAAATTCCAAAAAGACAAATATAGGGTAATGTAGGTTTGTTCACCAACTTGAACTAAAATCTACAGAAAATTTTCAAACCCTTCAGCCATATTGCTGCTGATAGATTCGAACGCCATGTAAGACCTTAATTCCTTACAGCCTAAAGCATATTATTAGATGGGGATGCCGCTGTACATCTAAAGAAAATCAGATTAAACAAAAAACCTTTATACATCTAGAAAACTTGTCATCCAAAAGTCACCTTTTTCCAAATATCTTTCGTGAAACTACAAACTTCGGTAGAAATAGAACTAAATCAACTATTTACCTCGGTTGTTGATCCCATCTTTGTCGGATTTTAGAGGGTGTCTCGCCGAAGTCCCAGATCTATAATACTCTTTGTCCGTCCAAGTACTCTTTGTTCGAACAAAAAATATAAGGGTCAGGAACCCTAATTCGAACAAAAAAATACTAATTCAAACCAAAAAATAGAGAGAAGTTGAATGTAGTACCTGATTTCATAGGCCGGAGCAGCTGCGGGGTTGCCGGCGTGGTCGATTCGCCGGAGAAGAACGGGATTGCCGGCGAGGAGCTGCGGAGCGGTCGATTTTTTGCCCGCGAGGAGCTACGGAGCGGTCGAATTCAGAGAAGAACGGCGCTGCCTGGAGGAATGGTCGAATTCAGAGAAGAATGGCGATTGTGAGAAGAACGTGATTGTAGTCGATGTTTTTTTTTTTTTTTTTTTTTGGCACGAAATGGCATCTTCGTCGTCCTCACAACCGCAGCGCCACAATGTACATCCCGGTCCGAGGGATCCGTCCACTCTATATCTTCAGTACTGCCACCGATCGAGTGATTTGTTCGAAGATATAGGCGGATGTCGTGACGGCATCATTAAACCCCGCCGTTTCGACACTCAGTTCTGGAAGGCGTTGGATCACCAGAATCCCAGAGTTTGGAATGCCATCGAGAGGACGGGGCTTGGCCCGCTGTTTCGAATGGGCAGAGTTATGACCGACAACAGCCTCGTCACGTGTCTGGTGGAAAAGTGGCGACCGGAGACGCATACCTTCCACTTTGACTTCGGGGAGGCCACCATCAC